GTATAACTCAAAGATTTCAAATTCAGCTCCTAGGCGTGCGCAGTTCCCGCGTAGAGTCCCATGAGGGTTCCTGGCGCGCAAATCTCTAGCTTGGGAACCAGGAACGCTGAGAGGCTGGAATTTTCAAGAAATGTTCCCAGCATAAGTACAACATAAACCTAGTAAATTCAGCCCCCAGTCTCAAGTGGTTCTCACGTACGGTCCTGTAAAATTTTTTGGCGGGAGAATGGCTAACTCGGGAATTAGCAAAGCTGGGAGGCTGAAATTTTCAGGGAATTTTCACAGCCCACGTACGACTTAAAGTTATCAAATTCAGCACGCAGGCATAGTGGTTCTCAGTACGGCTCCGTCATACCTTTTTGGAGCGAAAATGATTAATTTGAGGACCAGGAAAGCTGGGAGGCTGAAATATTCAGGGAATGTTCCCAGCACAAGTACAACATACACCTAGTAAATTCAGCGCCCAGTCGTACGTGGTTTTCACGTTCGACCCCGTGGAATGTTTTGGCGCGAAAATGGCTAACTCGGTAACCAGAAAAGCTGAGAGACTGAAACTTTAAAGGGGCTTTTCCAGCCTGCATGCAACTTAAAAATTCCAAATCCAGCCCCCAAGTTTGCCCCCTGGTCACGTGCGCCGCTGTGAAAATTTTGGCGGAAAGATTGCTAACTCGGTAATCGGAAAAGCTGGAATGCCGAGATTTTAGGAGAATATTCCCCGTCCAAATACAATTTAAAGGTTTTAAATCCAGCCTCCATTTACTCGTGATCCTCGTGTACGGGTACTTAAATTTTTGGCGGGAAAATTGCTCATTGAACAGCTGGGTCATTTTCAAAAAACGATCGCTAAACAGAAATTGTTTATTTCTTTTTGTGCAAAATTTACGATAATTTATGGTATTGAGCGCATAAGGTAGGTGTGAAAAAACCGTTCACGCAGTTAACCTAATTCAAGTTTGGTGCAAAAACGCATGATCGCATCGGCTCGGCTGGTGCGTTCCAGCCTGGTTTAAATATGAAAGATTGCTTAGTGATCTTTTCAAGACTCAGCACGAGTGTTAGAAGCGCAGGATGCTTGTTTGTTGAATTTATTTAATGCGTGTTTCAGTGAGGGAAAGTATTATGATCTCACATATGGCTGCACTGAGACATGCACGCTGGTTTGAAGAAAATGCTTCGAATCCAACTATTAAGGTTAGTGCCGTGAAATAAGTTTTGACACTTTTATCAGCTGTTCTAGCATTGTTTCTTTTCGTCGGTGAGGCTGGCAGCTTCTCCACTTTTTTTACTTTTGCTGGTTTTCTTCATCCACGGAAGACCGTGCAGGCGTGCTGGTAATACATCCATTTTACTAATGAATGCCCGAGTTTGCATTTAATATTTCCGCTTCGTGAATCTGATGATCCCATATATGCTTCTTCGAGTTCATCTGTAAAGTCTTCAAGCGCATAGTTATAATGCTTTATTTTGCAATGCGGAATCAAATTTCTTATGGATTGATCAGTGTCGTCATCGGCCACCAAATTGATGGCGTAGGATTCTACGAATTTTATCATGGATTTTTGCAGTTCTATTCTGCATTTTGTTCTAACTGTTAGCTGGAATTCTTTGAAAAGCTCTAGCTTCCTGACTTGAATTTTATACTTGCAGTGAGCAATTTTTCTGACAGCAGTCTTGTATTTTTCTCAATATCCATAGCCTGCTGATGGATGTTGTGAACAATTTCTGTGACTTTAAAATTATGAGAATTTTGCTCATCCTTTGACAGCTGCAGCAGATCTAGCATTAAAAACATTAACCAGTTAGCCATAGAAGATGTGTGCCGTTTGTAAATGATTCCGGAATTGAGACCGCCATTGGGCTTCAAAATGTTCCTACATTTAGTAGCTGTTGTTGAGGGAATTATCTTAAAATT